AGATAAAAATGTTTGTTTCAAGACATTAAGTATCTGTAACAACACAAGTACTACTACTTACCTTTGTTAATAATTTATACTCTAATATGAACTGTATTGCTCAAATAGATGTGCATTACTTCTTTTTATTTATTATATTTTTTTAATCATTTTTTTTCTCTCCTTTTTCCTTACAATTTGTAGATAAAATATCTAATGCATTTTTAGCAATTGAAGGGAGACCATATCCAAGATATTCTTGGGGAAAAAAATTGTGACATTACATTTTTGTATGATTAGCTGAAAGTTTTCTTTTTTTTCGTTTCTTTTCTATGATAAATCTGATAAATTGCTTATTTCATATAAAAAATTGTTATATGTTATTATACTTTTCAATATCATTTTGTACTGAGGGAAAAAGAAATCTTAATTCTGTCACTCCTTTAAACAATTCACATATGAAAAATGAAGATCATGTCTAGTCAAGAATCAGATAAAGAACAGATTTTTGCTTTTGTTTTAAATCTATTATACATTTATAAAAAAAATTGCTTATACTGACAGTACATGTCTATTTGAATGAGGAGGTGAAGCCTACATGTGAATGATGCATTAGTTGTTAATTTCAAGGAAGAACTTTCAGTAAATTCCAATCAATTTTTTTTTTTTTAAGAAAAAGAAAAAAAATATTAAAAAAAAAGTGAAATTGTACACTTGTTGGGTCAGACTTGCTTCCCGACAAGACTTGCCACAAGGAAAGGACAATACCGATATCCCAACAGAAACACGGATTTCAGTTAGATATTGCTTGGCTGTGCAAATAAGAAATCATTTCATAATATTTACATTTTGTTCAATACCTTATTGCTTCCAAGCATTAAGATATACTGAATCTTCACTACTAGAGATTTAAAAGATAAATAAAAAATTATGAAACTATACATAAAGATATAAATGATAGCATTATACTTGAGATTAAAAGCAAAATGCAGCTATCCACTGGCAAGGGTATTATGCTTTTTTTTCATGGATCATATCTCTGAACTAAATCTGGTGATTGAAAATAATTTAAAATCTAAAACAAACACATTAATACCAGAAACTTGTACATATCCAACTTCTGTTAACAAAATTTCTATTAAAGATTAATAAAACACATTAATATACAAATAAATTTTTGGTAAATTTTTTTCATATCACTTTCCAAAACAGGACCATGATAATCATATTTGCAAATGGACATTTGGTAACAAGTTCTGTTTTCTATTTGTAGAATTTCACAAAATGCAAATAAATACACAAAAAATAAATATACATTTTTTCAGTCGATAAAAATAAAATATAAACAAATTACTTTAAAATGGGTATTAGTACTTTTTTTTTAACATATACCTGACATCTTTATATCTGAATAATAATATCAACATAAAAACACATGAATGCTTGTTATCACAATGATGACAATGATCACGAATTTAAATATTCAATGGCATCATTTAATCAAGTACTATCAGCCCTTCATAAATACACCCAATTATATGTGCTTCATCACTGTAAGATTTTCTTTCAAAAAATCTTTCCTATCAACATCAAAATGGGATTTTAATAGAACATGTAGCCTTAATGATGATGTAAAAAAAAACCTGATTAAAAAAAAAAAACCTGATTTAAAAAAGAAGTTTTATTGTAGATCTGTTTGAAATAAATGCTTACTAGATTCAAATCTTCTATACTTAGAGATGATTTTTCTTCAGGGTTTTGTTCATACTAGAAAATGATAATTAGATGTGGTCATCATTTCCATCAGTAAAAAGTTTTAAGAGATTTTATTTTTAGATGAATTTATTATATGTATTTTTTTATCTCTAGAATTTGAAATATTCTGCTAATGAATTAAGATATATGTAAATTATTTAAACATATATGCATGTCTCAAAATTTCCTTTTTACAAGTATGAACAACATAAATATCCATATAGACATACTACATTGTAAGCTCGATATAGCTATTAAGCATTTTTCAGTGTTTTTCTAAGCACTGTAACGATGCCGCAAAGCGTAAAAGGACAAAATAATCCTTCCGTACACTTGTCTTTTTTTTATTCTCTAATTGGAAAGTTCATTAATTACTGTACACCATTATTGTATTAATTTGATATATTTATCTTGCATTGATATAATGGGCGGCAAAGGAAATGTCGCTAACATTTCAGATTAAACCTATATACTCAAGTTCCTACATCTCCACCGCTTATATACATACATTTTCAGAGAATCAATTAAAATCTATTCTTACAGGTACTTGACCTTCTTTTGAAATTATCTGATATATAAAAATGATGGAATCTATTTGAAATACAAGGCAAGTAGATTTCCACATCAAAATTTTTTTTATCTTTTTTTTTCTCAATCACTTTGGATTTTCCTCTTTTGCTTTCGAGGTTTAAAAATTAAGACCCATCATGTTTAGCTATGTTGTATCTTACTTGAATTTGTTTTGAACACTGCTATTCACTTGTGTATCTTTTGTACAATCTTGAGTTTTTAAAGACTTGTGCTTTCCTGAGACATAATAGGAGTAAAATATTTCACAGTATATCGAGTCAGAAAGAAGGTAAAAAAAAAAAATCCAAATTCTTTCAGCTTACGATCATGATTTGTACATCCTCAACTTAATAAACTTTAGTAGTGTAATAATATATGGTACAATGTAAACACAAATATAATCCTGGATAAATGTTTTCATCAAATTAGAAAAAACATAACAGTACCAAGCTATCAGTACATTTAAAATAAATAACTTTAGGTATGAAACCCCCGTAAAATCTTCGATTAATTTCTCAACTTCGAGCAAAGTAATTATTTGAGTCATTTTACTCATTACATTACAAGTATCAACCATTAGAAAAGAATTATTACAGAAGAAAAAAATTTTAGTTCTTAGATATTATGCTTATAATCTTGAAACTTCCCATTTTTATTTTTGTTTCCTTTCAAAATACCACTGAAAACAAATCGTATACCATCCCCTCATTACTTGCTATATTCGTATTGTATGATAATAATTGAAATGGAACACATCATATCAATGAATTTTTAAAAACATATATTTCAGATATTTATTGAAGAATGTGAGGTTTGGGTTGGATTTGGAATGATTTGTATTTAGAACATCATTGTCCAAAAACAGATTCATTTTACCAATAGGAATAATTGTAAAATTCTTATTTATGAAAAAAAAATGGATTTGATGACATGAACAAATAAAAAAAAAACAAATGTGATAGAACCACTTAAGAATAAAAAATTTCATTTGCAAAAAAAATTAAAAAAAATAGATAAATGAAATGAAAAATTAAATGAACTTTTTGCCATGTGATGAATTTCCTAATGGTAAGTTAATATGTGGAGGCAAGATAGAATTTTCCCTTTACTAAAATAAATAATGAAGTATTCATGAAGGCAATTAGTAAATAAAGCACCAAATGTTCTTGCAGAGTTAGAAATATTGTAAATAGTTCACATAATTAACACAAAGACATATATATATATCAAAGACAACAGCTATTATCAATAATTTGTATCTGTAACCTAATAATGAGGCACATTTATCTATTGACAGCAGGAATTGTTTATAAAATCTAACCTTGCGGACCACAACCCCGTACTCTGTGCAACCTTGTTCATCGACAACACAATTGGGCGGAATTAAATTGTTCCCCCACTTCAGTCAATTATTTCAATGGACCACCTGTTATACACAGGAAGCATATTCTTACAAGTATCTGGCAGTAAAATTATTCAAAACTGTTCATAACACAAGTAGTAAAAAGTCAAGTGCATATCATAACTGTTTAAAAAACAAACGTCCATGTGGAAATAACAAAATTAAGTTCATCGCAAAAATAAATGAAAAAAAAATTCAAGACACTGTTTTCAATTAATATAAAAAAGGGAAAATATGTTTAAGGGTGTACTTCTCTGAGAAGACAAAGAATTCTTTAGATTGATTTTTTTAAAGGTTAGATTAATCAATATGTAGCTACAGTTTTCTTTCCGATACAGGTGTCAGAATATGTGTAACAGAGAGTAATTCACTTTCACATATTATTCATACCCAGTAAATGTTTTCCAGAATAACAAACGTTCTTTGTTGTTTTCCCCGCAACTTTTATAAAAACTTTTTTGTCTTTCATTAAAAAGTGAGTGTATGATACTTCTTTATTAAGGAATAAATAATATGAAAATGTTGAATTTTCATTTGCTTTTACAAGATTACAGTTGAATAGAAACCGAAAATTGAAAATTTTGAAAAATGACATAAATCTTTTATTTGACATTCTTCTAGTTATTAAACATTTTGAAGTTTTTAGAAGATTTTACTCTTAAGATGGAGATTTTTTATGGAGATTTTTCTTGATTAAAAAACGGGATGTGTTTTAATGCTTGTAAATTTTCCTCAAACAGTTGGTTTTATCAAGAACAAGAAATAAGGCAAACTAGTAGTTTTCAGGTCCTAAAAATCATTGTAAATGGTACACAGGGTCAGAATTCACTAATTTGAAAAGTGTGATTGATGATGATAATTCAAACAAAATTTTGTTGAACTCTACCCAAGACTTTTTAAGTTACAATCAAAAGAATTAATTTAGCAAACAGAAAACATTGAAATTGTTGACGCTATTAACCAAATGACAATGTCAACTAAGCTGTCAAAAAACATAGTCCAAAATTGTGTATTTTCTTCAGATTGTCAAAGCACCCCTTACCAACTTATAACTAGCAAAAACCAAATTTATAAAAACATAAAAGTCTAAGGCTTTATGTTGGAATTATTGTGCATGTTGAACCATGTCCTACCTCTGGTCAAACATCAGAAGTGCATCCTCTAATTCTGGTTTAAAAGTGATTGTATCTTCCTAATTTCTGGTTCTTGGAAGAAATTTGAGATTGCAAGTGACTTTCAGATTCTGTAAATTAATCAGTTTAATACATGAACAAGAATTCTTATTATAAATTTTTCACATTTTTTTGGATTTTGAGATTTCTTGCGACTTTCTATTCAGTTCACGTTTTTGCTCCTGAACTTCATCAATGTCCTCATACATGTGAGAGCGTAATGCGCGTGTTTGATTTCCTCTCAACTCCGACGATGGTTTCACCTCTTCATAAACATGATTCCTTGTTTTCTTACCATCTGCTGGCTTTTGTTCATTTTCTTTCTTTTGTTCCAACACAAACACTTTAGCCTTGGCTTCCTCTACACTCTCATAATTAGGGTCAATGTCACAGTCAAGGTCAGGGTCATTGACACAATCCCTGACAGTTTGGTAATTTGGATCAAGCGTCACTTTACCATTAAGAGCCCTGAAGTTAGGACTGGCTGTTTGTGGCTCCACAAAACTTGTTCTAGTTGTTGCTCCATAAGGAGGCGAGCTTACAAAGGCGCTTGGCGACAACTGCTCCTGTACACTGTGTCGAAGGTCACTTTCCTCTGTGGATGACCTTGAACCTTGACGACCATCATGATGTGTCTTTGTCATGAGGTGAAGACTATCCAATGAAGGAGGGGCTGGCACACGGGCTTGTTGTTCACCTGAGAATCAAAACAGTACAATAAAAAGAAATAAGTTTTTAAGAGCATAGAATAAAGAATAAAAGTTCTTATAACACAACCAATAGAAGACATTAGAGTGATGTTTTGACTTTTGAGGACTACACGATCACCTTCATCAGACAAATGACCAGTGTAAAGTGTACCATCACTAGTGTACAAAATAAACTTTATCTTCTGCTGTTCTATCCTATGTACACTAGGGTCAAAAATTGTGTGATGAGATGGTAAACATCTCGTCATTCTAATGACAGCAATGGTTGAAAGATGTAAAACCAACATGTTTCATGATGTGACCTGTCAGACCTGAGTTTTAAAAAATTCATATTGTACTGTGTTTATATCATTTTGTTTTCATATCAATCATAGTAAAAGCTATGACAGTGTATGTAAAGTGTATGTAAAGATAAGTAAATTGTCAAAACTCATGAAATTTTCTTACAAATGTAACAAATCTATCACAGAATAAGACTGAGGATATCACTCAGGTAGTTGTTTATATCCTGGGTTTATCAACCTGAGAACATTAAAGGTTTTTTCGAGGTGGGGTTCTCCTTGTATATCTTGTGGCTACCTCGCTGAATATCATGCAGGAGGCACCTGCAGGCTACCCAGAGCCCGACAACACAAATGGGACAACAGAGAACATTCCATGATCTCAATGAGAAAAACACTCTCCTAGGAAGTGATAGAACCAAAACATATGGATCTTTACCTGATTTTGTAAAGTCTAATGCTATCCTTACGAGGTATGTAAACCTCCTGGGCAAACTTGGTGAAAGTCATATAAATATAAGGCTGATGCAGAGAGTTCACTATACTGTGATCAAAGATAGAGAAACTCTGTAGCTGTTTAGTTTATGCTGATATTACAAATTTCATGTATACCTGATAGTTATTATTATTTCGAGAATTTATTTCAAACTAAATGTTTAAATGAAGTGAACAGATTCATCATCAAGGTCATTCGGGATCACATCCTTCATCTATTTTAAGAAACAAATTCCGACACCGCATCACAATCATGTAGAGTGAAAATTAATTATCCTATACTAAACGTATACGTTAACTTTACAAACCAGCGGCTCCAATTTCTGCATAAAAGTCATTTGGTAGGCTGTTTCGGTTCGGTACGGGATTTGTGGGAGGTACTGGTATAACCCCATCTCCTGAACCTCCTATCTCTGCATAGAAGTCATTCGGAAGGCTGGCTCGATTAGGAACAGAATTTGTGGGTGCAGCACGAATCACACCATCACCAGAGCCTCCTTCCACCTGTAAGTACGTAACACAACATTAAACCTAGTAATATTGGTAAAGAATAAATATGTGACGAGAAATTTTGTTGGATCTGAACTGCTACTATTTGAGACAGTTATGGCTGGTACATATTTTCATTGCAATGTGTTATTCTCAGTAGATCAATACTTACTGTTGCATACATGTTTTCAGTCTCTGCCACAGTTTCGTATGTGTTGAGAGCACGGCGTGCATTAATACTCGCCATTGATTCTCTTGATGTCAGTTTAATGTAGCCAGGCTCCCTGCGAGGAGGACCTTGAATTAAGAAGGAACATTGTCAAATATCAACAAATCAATACCCAATACAATATTTTAACTTTATATTAATTCTCAATATCATACTAGCAGTATAATGTCGTATTGTTTCATGTCTGGAAAACTGCTGTCCTTGATTTCCAGGTATACAGGATATGCATTATGCCAAATTTGAAATTTCCCAATTTTCTGTAAAATTTTCAGGACTCATCAAGAGAATTGATGTATGTATACTCCCATATTGTAATATCTGTTACCCATAATCCTTTACTCACCTGCTTCCTGTACAGGTCTATCTTCAGCAGTTGACATTTGACTGGCACTTGTGGCAGTTGAGGTCTGTGTTTGTGATTGATGGACTGGACTTGTGGGACTTGTGGATGTGGTTCCAGTAGGTGGAGCAGGTGCTAGTGTTGGTTCCTCTCTCCTATAGTTCCTCGGAGGTTCTGGAGGAAGGGTATTAGGGTGGAGCTCTGGAGGAGTGTCTGACACCTTTGATTCAGTCGTTGCTACTGATGATGAATCAGATCTATTTTTTACAACAACTGCATATTCGTCTCTTCCTTCCTCAACCTTAAATGTGTCCTGTATCTGAGATGCCCCATCCACTTCTGACCCTTCCTCACCATTACGAGACACTGTAATTGTTGTCACCTGTTTTGCCTTCCTACTCGGATCAACAATAGAGTATGGATACTTAGGATCCTCTGTAATATCAACGAAGTCATCCTCATCTACTTTATTGTACGGGTCGTCAGCATCATCACCTTTTATCTTATTATAAGGTGGATCGTCTCCCTTTATTCTATTATAGGGATCATCATCTTCAACTCGGTTGTAAGGGTCAACATCTTTGACCTTATTATATGGATCAGTGTCCTTGACCTTATTGTAAGGGTCAACATCTTTGACCTTATTGTAGGGGTCAAAATCCATAAATGACCCACCTGATGCTCCTTCCTCTTTAACCTTATTGTATGGATCAGTGTCCTTGACCTTGTTGTAAGGGTCAACATCTTTGACCTTATTGTAGGGGTCAAAATCCATAAATGAACCATCAGATTCTCCTTCTTCTTTAACTCTGTTGTATGGGTCATCGTCCTTGACCTTGTTGTAAGGGTCATCCTTCTCCTTAACCTTATTGTAGGGGTCATCTTTATCAGTGACCTTGTTATAAGGGTCATCATCTTTGACCTTATTGTAAGGGTCATCTTTCTCATCTGACTCTTTGACTTTATTGTAGGGGTCAGTTTTTTCTTTGAGTTTTGCATATGGATCCTCCTTGACCTTCATATTTGCTGAAAGCATTGGTTCTCTTTCATCACTGACCATAGCATATTCATCATCATTTGAAGCAGAAGCAATGTTTATCCTAGCTGGGGCGTCTTTCCCACCACTCGCAGCTGTTGGCTGCTCTTTAACAGGTGTGTAGATATTTTCCATGTTTACCTCTGCGTAATCTGTATCAGGTATACTTGCTTTCCGTTCTTTTATTTTCACCGAACCATCCTCACCAAGAATAACATGATCATAGTTTGACCCACGTTTGTTTCCCTGTTTCACATTTTTGGCCAAATGATCGTAATCATCCTCGGGTTCTTCCTCCATTTGTAATGTTCTATTGACTGCTCCGTTACCCTGGGGAGGGGCAGGAAGCTGTCGCTGGTTGGCATGATGTGGGGAATGTCCAGGGCTTCTCTGGCTGCTGTTACTAATCCTAAAACACAACAGATGTTATGATAAAAATGAAAAATAGAAAATGTGTAAACAAACATTCTTTTGCGCTTTGATTTGCTGTAAATATTTTTCACATAACAGATTGTAATTGTATGAGCTGAAGCTATTAACACTCGTAAACTTATGTAAATACAAAAATTCATGAAAGCTGATTGTTTGATTTTCTTAAAATTCTATACATGGTAGCTGAAAAGGATGACTGCTTACAGTACAGTTTTGTTTAAAATCTGTGTAAGTTTATAAGGACAAATTTTAACACTGTATTCACACTCAATGATCAGTATGGTCAAGTGACTATCATAAAATATGGAGTCATAGCCCTTTATAACCACAGGTGTGAAAAGTTGAAAATATATTCAACTTCATTGTTTGACTATCATGTTTATATGTGTGTCAACAACGAATTTGTTGATTTACTATATTTTAACTTCAAAAAATTTATTCAAATTTAATTAAAAAAAAAAAAAAGCTATGAAATATCAGGTGATTCAAGCACGTCGTAATGTTTAAATATTACACCTTCTATACAAAATAAGGTGAGTTGGCAACACTGCATAATGACTGCTTGTAGTTATGTAAACAATACTGCCAAAAAAACAAAACAAACATTATTCATTTTTTTTCTATCTCTAAGGAATGCAATCCTTCACTACATATCAACAAAATTATTTTTCTTGGCTGTTGATCATAGGTAGGAATGTGAAGGTTAATGAAGGGCACAAAGTGGAGATTATTGTCTGTAGGAAATCTTACCTGAGACTGCCCCCAGCTTGACCGTTCTCCAACGGGATCAGACTATTGTCCACATCAACAGTCACACTATCAGCAGGCTTAGCAGCCTACAAATATAAACAAATCTCATTACCGGAGTCTTTTATTGCTGACTGACCTTTGATATTATACATGATTGTACACTACATATTGTTGTAAAATCAAAGACACTAATGTCGCATCTGAAAATATCACAAGGTAAAAACAATATATGTAAAATCTTTAATCTAATTTAAAACCTGATGTTTTTTTAATTTTGCATCAAGACTCCAGGTCCTGGAGATGTTTTTTCAATAGCGCAGAAATTATGAGTGTAATATATAATGATAAGAAATAGATGGATTTTTGCTCTGATAAATCTAGAACATTACAGTATAAGATGGATTGAGGGATTTCACAACAGGTCCTGCAGTACACAAAATCCTCCTTCTTACCGTTGTCGAGTCTCGTCCTGATATATATTTGCCGGTACTCAGTGAAGTATCCTTCTGTTTACTGTAACATAAAAACACACTACAATATGGTAGGCAGCTAATTCTCAACAACCATATCTTTACATAATTAGTTGGAATTTTCAGTAGAGAATAGAGAATGGAGGGAGTATTTGATCCTGAGTGGTATAATGAGAGTTGGGGGATAAAGGGAGTATTTGGGCCTGGGAGGTGTGTTGAGAGTGGGAAAGTAGGGAGCATTTAGGACTGGGAGGTGTGTTGAGAGTGAGGAAGTAGGGAGTATTTGGGCCTGGGAGGTGTATTGAGAGTGAGGAAGTAGGGAGTATTTGGGCCTGGGAGGTATGACGATAGTGGCAGGATAAAGGGAGGTTTCAGGCTTTGGAGGTGTATTGAGAGTGAGGAAGTAGGGACTATTTCGGCCTAGGAGGTATGGTGATAGTGGCAGGAAAAAGGGAGTATTTGGGCCTGGGAGGTATGATGATAGTGGCAGGATAAAGGGAGTATTTAGGCCTGGGAGGTATGATGAGAGTTGGGGACATAAGGAGTATTTTGGGCCTAGGAAGTATAATGAGAATTGGCGGGATACAGGGAGTATTTGGGACTTAAAATAGCATGGGTAATGGTAAAAACCAGTTACAGAAAATCTAACCCCTAACACCTTCCCTCCCCACACACCCCTCTTCCTAACACACAATTTTTCTTTTAAATTACCATATTAGCAAAGAATTCACAGTACTGTAAGCATACATATTTCAGCAATAAACTTACTTCAGTGCTTTTCATGCTTGAGATATTACCCTAAAATATAGCAATTATTACAAATACACAAATTCAACAAAATAAGTTTATATACAGTATATCCTTACCAAGGGAAACAACTCTTGAATAAGAATATTTATATCACTTACCCTCCTAAGCACAAACAGCCACCAATAATGTAAACAAGGAGAAAGAGGCCAATGACACCTCCTATCACGGGTAGAAACAACCCATCAAGATTCAAGGTCACCTCCAAGGTCATGGTGATGTCAATGTGAATGTTAGAAGGCTAAGTATGTGTGTCTGTTCCTCATGGTTGGCCAGTCAATCAATCCTGAAAAAGGTAAATCATCGCATTAATCATAATTTCTCATACTACAAATCACAATTTCTCACACCACAAATCTCCATTTCTCATACTACAAATCACAATTTCTCATACTACAAATCACAATTTCTCATACTACAAATCATAATTTCTCATACTTCAAATCACAATTTCTCACTACAAATCACAATTTCTCACACTACAAATCATAATTTCTCACACTACAAATCACAATTTCTCATACTACAAATCTCAATTTCTCATACTACAAATCTCAATTTCTCACACCACAAATCTCCATTTCTCACTACAAATCACAATTTCTCACACTTCAAATCTCAATTTCTCACTACAAATCACAATTTCTCACACTACAAATCATAATTTCTCATACTACAAATCACAATTTTTCACACGACAAATCATAATTTCTCATACTACAAATCACAATTTTTCATACAAATCACAATTTCTCACACTACAAATCATAATTTCTCACACTACAAATCACAATTTTTCACACGACAAATCATAATTTCTCATACTACAAATCATAATTTCTCATACTACAATCTCAATTTCTCATACTACAAATCACAATTTCTCATACTACAAATCATAATTTCTCATACTACAAATCATAATTTCTTATACTACAATCTCAATTTCTCATACTACAAATCATAATTTCTCATACTACAAATCATAATTTCTCATACTACAAATCATAATGTCTTATACTACAATCTCAATTTCTCATACTACAAATCACAATTTTTCACACCACAAATCACAATTTCTCATACTACAAATCATAATTTCTCATACTACAAATCATAATTTCTTATACTACAATCTCAATTTCTCATACTACAAATCACAATTTCTCATACTACAAATCATAATTTTTATACACAACAATCTCAATTTCTCATACTACAAATCACAAATACTACAAATCATAATTTCTCATACTACAAATCATAATTTCTTATACTACAATCTCAATTTCTCATACTACAAATCATAATTTCTCATACTACAATCTCAATTTCTCACACTACAAATCATAATTTTTCATACTACAATCTCAATTTCTCACACTACAAATCACAATTTCTCATACTACAAATCATAATTTCTCATACTACAAATCATAATTTCTCATACTACAAATCATAATTTCTCACACTACAAATCTTCTCATACTTCTAATCACGATTTCTCATACTACAAATCATAATTTCTCATACTTCAAATCACAATTTCTCATACTACAAATCATAATTTCTCATACTTCAAATCACCATTTCTCATACTACAAATCATAATTTCTCATACTACAAATCACAATTTCTCATACTACAAATCATAATTTCTCATACTACAAATCATAATTTCTCACACTACAAATCATAATTTCTCATACTTCTAATCACGATTTCTCATACTACAAATCATAATTTCTCATACTTCAAATCACAATTTCTCATACTACAAATCATAATTTCTCATACTACAAATCACAATTTCTCATACTACAAATCATAATTTCTCACTACAAATCATAATTTCTCACTACAAATCACAATTTCTCATACTACAAATCATAATTTCTCATACTACAAATCACAATTTCTCATACTACAAATCATAAAATTTCTCATATAGAGGCCAAAGGTTATACACATTGATAGAGAAGCTTGACAATTGATGGAATAGCGAAACAGTTGACTACAGGAAGTAAACAGAAAATAGTTATGAAATAACATCATCTTTCCAACTTGGCCAGAAATCTGATTAATACAGCTAACTAAAGTTCAAATGGGCCTGTCTGTATTACTTAATTAAATAGTGCTGGCAAACTCCATTGAAAATCTGTGACATTCAAGTCTTCTTTTTATTCAGTTCAATGTAATTTTCTTGAACAAAACAAAAGAATAGCCTAGGGTAAACTGGATGACCATGGATGAAACCTGTAGTTAACTATTCAAAGCAGATGAAAGTATGGGTGCCTATTTGAGTCTTTTGGTGGCTATCACTATGTGTACTTGCGGTTAGGCCATGTGACTTGAAATGAAAAAAGTCAGACTATATAGTTGAAAAGTAGGTCATTTTGATCCAGCGTTATTTCTGCTAAATTACATGTATGTCAAAGATATACTCTTAGATAGGAATTTGAAGTATGCATACTCTTAAGGACAAACATCCATACTCTCCATTCTCTGTGTAAAGTTTGATAAAAAAACATTTGACAAATTATCATCTATGACAACCACTGAAGCAAACTATACATACTCTACTATTATGATGTATAATCTTTATATACTCATTTATTATGATGTAAAATGTAGTATACAGCCTTAAGACAAAATGTTTTTATTTATCATTTTTCAAGAGGGTTGAGTATATTCAAGACAGATTTTTTCCATTATCAACTTTCACTTTCACTACCAATTATGTATATGCATCATTATCCACACCGATTAATCATGCTGTCTGTATAAAGCAATACCACACTATTATATTTCAAAGTTATACATGTATAACTCACAACATGACCTGTGTGACATTTTAAAAACTTACATACTTCAAACTTCTTAGCCGCTTTAAACATGTTGAGTGGAAATAACGTAAGAATTCTCTACAGCTGTCTACATTTTTCAAGTGAACTTTTATCCCTTCCAGCCAGTCCTTCACACAATTTCTGTACCAGACAGTTAACCTCTGACCTCAGACACCATCAGATTTTTTTCTTAAGTCCACTGGTTCAGAGTTGGATGTACATGGTCCAACACTGTAGTTCCTCACACACCAAGTCACAGATTTTATTCTGACAAACAGCCTTGAAGTCAACAACTGAAAAAAAAAATAACATTAATAGAAATCACAGAATTTAAACTCGTGGATAGTAAATTTCATGTATGGTGATCACAAAGGGATCTTGGCACCCACTGTCTTTTGATCTTTATTTGTTCTTTCAAAGTTGGATATTTTTCTTCTTTCCTGTATTTTTTCTCTTAATTAAATAAAATTTGAAAATTCCTGTGAGGAATGGTGACAATTAACTGCTATTGAGGTCATCCTATTTAACCAACATGTCTATTGAGGTCATCATCCTACTATACCAACCTGTCTATTGAGGTGATCATCCTGTTTAACCAACCTGTCTATTAAGGTCATCACCATATTATACCATCCTGTCTATTGAGGTCATCATCCTACTATACCAACCTGTCTATTGAGGTGATCATCCTGTTTAACCAACCTGTCTATTAAGGTCATCACCATATTATACCATCCTGTCTATTGAGGTCATCACTATATTATACCATCCTGTCTATTGAGGTCATCCTATTATACCAACATGTCTATTGAGGTAATCATCCTATTAAACCAACCTGTCTATTGAGGTCATCCTATTATACCAACATGTCTATTGAGGTAATCATCCTATTAAACCAACCTGTCTATTGAGGTCATCATCCTGTTTAACCAACCTGTCTATTGAGGTCATCACCACATTATACCATCCTGTCTATTGAGGTCATCACCTTATTATATCATCCTGTCTATTGAGGTCATCCTATTATACCAACATATCTATTGAGGTCATCATCCTATTATACCAACCTGTCTATTGAGATGACTATCCTATTAAACCAACCTGTCTATTGAGGTCATCATCCTGTTTAACCAGCCTGTCTATTGAGGTAACCATCCTATTAAGCTAACCTGTCTGTTGAGGTCATCATCCTATTAAACTAACCTGTCTATCGAGGTCATCATCCTATTATACCAACCTGTCTATTGAGGTCATCATCCTACTATACCAACCTGTCTATTGAGGTGATCATCCTGTTTAACCAACCTGTCTATTAAGGTCATCACCATATTATACCATCCTGTCTATTGAGGTCATCATCCTACTATACCAACCTGTCTATTGAGGTGATCATCCTGTTTAACCAACCTGTCTATTAAGGTCATCACCATATTATACCATCCTGTCTATTGAGGTCATCACTATATTATACCATCCTGTCTATTGAGGTCATCCTATTATACCAACATGTCTATTGAGGTAATCATCCTATTAAACCAACCTGTCTATTGAGGTCATCCTATTATACCAACATGTCTATTGAGGTAATCATCCTATTAAACCAACCTGTCTATTGAGGTCATCATCCTGTTTAACCAACCTGTCTATTGAGGTCATCACCACATTATACCATCCTGTCTATTGAGGTCATCACCTTATTATATCATCCTGTCTATTGAGGTCATCCTATTATACCAACATATCTATTGAGGTCATCATCCTATTATACCAACCTGTCTATTGAGATGACTATCCTATTAAACCAACCTGTCTATTGAGGTCATCATCCTGTTTAACCAGCCTGTCTATTGAGGTAACCATCCTATTAAGCTAACCTGTCTATTGAGGTCATCATCCTATTAAACTAACCTGTCTATCGAGGTCATCATCCTATTATACCAACCTGTCTATTGAGGTCATCATCCTACTATACCAACCTGTCTATTGAGGTGATCATCCTGTTTAACCAACCTGTCTATTAAGGTCATCACCATATTATACCATCCTGTCTATTGAGGTCATCATCCTACTATACCAACCTGTCTATTGAGGTGATCATCCTGTTTAACCAACCTGTCTATTAAGGTCATCACCATATTATACCATCCTGTCTATTGAGGTCATCACTATATTATACCATCCTGTCTATTGAGGTCATCCTATTATACCAACATGTCTATTGAGGTAATCATCCTATTAAACCAACCTGTCTATTGAGGTCATCCTATTATACCAACATGTCTATTGAGGTAATCATCCTATTAAACCAACCTGTCTATTGAGGTCATCATCCTGTTTAACCAACCTGTCTATTGAGGTCATCACCACA